GGGGGGGGGGGGGGGGGGGGGGGTGGTAAAGGCCCTACTAAAGGGGAAGAAAGAGGGTCGGGGTTAGGGGATAGGGATTGCTTCCATCCCTCATTGATATCTGAGGCATACACATTTCTTGTAATTCCAGTTGGAGGGGATCAAGGGGAATAACAAACCCTCTTATCTTCAATTTGGGAGGGAGATGTACCCCTTCCATCGCCTCGTACACAGATTGGTATATACTATATACTATATACCCCTTCACCCTCCCAGTTGTACAATTCCCTATTTGTCGTCACATTTGCCAAGTCGAGGAGGACGACCGTTACAACGATCGTCCACTTCTTCTGGCCGCACTTTTCGTATCCATCATGATTTGAACTCCCATTGCACGCAGTTCTTAGTGAATCTGGACCTGGTAATGATGATTGTTCAGATGCGCGCCGGACGTTGAGCAGTGGAGCAAGGGCCTTAACCTGCCCCGAAACGTCCGCTAACAATACTTCCGTCCTTCAGGCAACATGGGTCTCCCACCTCTCTCGCAGAGTTGGGTGATTTCACCAAGGGATCTCCTTGCCCTCCCAGTCGAAGAACTTGCCGTTATCTTCCGTCTTCAGCTCATCAATGACGCTCAGAAGCTGCACAAAAAGGAATGTCCACAAATCGACACATCATCATTCACCGACACGCCATCATTCACTGATATGCCATCATCGTCCACTCGTGAAGAGCTATCGTGTGATTGATCGACGTGTCAAAAAAAACCCTCCAATCCATTTATGATTTTTAATTTTTTATGTTACTTGAAGTCGTCTGTGTCTCACAAATAGCTAAGACGTCGAAAGTTCGGGTCCATGGGATCTTCGCTTCCCTCCCCCCTCCTCGCCCCCCCCGAATCTGGCGTGCGGTGCTGCCACAAAGTGGCCTCGGCATCGTATTCATATTTCGCATGCCGGCACTCTTGCGAGCGCTTCAGGATCCAACACCATCATAATAGGAGACTACCTTCATTCTCTTCTCTATCACTACACGCTTCCATTATGAGCGGATACTACTTCATGGTTTACGCTTGCACTTCGGGGCCTGCACTTCACGCCTCGATTTTACTTGTGCATTTCAACGGACTCATGGTGGTGCGACTTGAGCTTCGCGCCTTATCTTACTTGCGAGCTACCTGTGCAAAAAAAATGATTTTTCCGTGTATTCTCGTCCTCGCGCGTCGTCATCAAGCGCGTCGTCGTTCTCTCTCCACATATAATTGAGTCTACAGGTATAGCGAGTAAGTAAACAAGCTAATACGCCATACAACAAGTTTTTTTTATCTTTTTTTTTTTTTTTTTAACGCCATACAACAAGTTTAGATCAAGGGGTAACTTCATTAGAGTCACAAAACCGAGTTATAAGAAACACTTTGCAAGTGCACTTCGGGCACCCTACCTGGCCAAGAAGCTGGGTTGTAAACATTGCCCGAACTGCAATTCGAAACTGTATCTCGGCCCATAGTGCAATCATAACTCGTTTTTTGTGACTCCCGCGTAGTTTCCCCTTCAATCAATCTTTATCTGCTTTAAAAAAAAACAGGATGCTTCAAAAAACTTGAAAAAGGGAATGCAACTCCAGCAGCTCTATGGGATAATGGAGCCCCCGGATGAGTCATTAAATAGCCACAGCCCTAGGAATCAACAAACTCCAATCTCTGTGAAAAAAAAAAAAAGAAAAAAAAAAGGATGCTTCAAAAAAAAAACAAGGATTTGCTAGGGAAAAAAAAAAAGAGATGATCTTCATAAATTAGCTGAATCTGGACTCGTTC